ATGATTTTTTTTTTAGAGCCAGTAGTTTTCTTTATTTGTATTATGATTAAAGATCAGCCTAAATGTTTTCCAGGCTAGCCATTCTGTTCAGTTGGTAGTAAAAAGTTGATGATAAATACGCAGGCCCACATTTTGTCATATACATGCAGAAGCTTTGCCTACTGCAGATTCAAGATCTACCTACCTACCTACCTACCTACCTACCTACCTACCTACCTACCTCAGTTTAAGTCCTAGGCCTTTTTCTCCTATCCTTTCTAGGCAATGGACCTTTGACTACTTTTCCTGCTCTTGAGAGTCAGAGCTGCATATCCCATGTAATAATTTGCTCTAGTCTGAGAATCACTGCTTCTTACCTTACCAGCTTCAGCTCTTAGACAATTTTAGTCATGTTCTGTTCCAGATATCTGGTTTATTTTTTTCTTTTGGTATTTATATTAGGGTTTTTTTTTTTTAGTGTATATTACTAAATATTCCCTCCATTCCCTCCAAAAAGTATGGGTTATTATTATTACTTATTTTTAAAATAATATATTTTAATATTAAATAATATTCCTGAACCCCAGTTGCTCTCTGTTCATACAGAATTGGCTGAATTGATTGAGTAACTGGAATCCCATGATATCTATTAAAGTATACTTATTAATGAGCTTGCATTACAGATTGCTAGAATTTACTGGTGAGCAGATTTTGCAGCCTACAGGTGTTACTGGAAAGCAGATGTTGTAGATAAAAAAAATCCATGGATTTTCACACCTTCATTTAACATTAGTTTAGCCTTTTCTATATATGTGGGAAGATGATGTCTTAGAATAACAGCTGAATTGAGAAGGTGTAGTATCTCTCCAGATATTGTCCTTTGGTCCCAGAGTATTCAGACTGATTCTAAGAACAGCATAATTCAAGATGAGTCTTATTCTCCTTATCTCAGTGGTCTTTGTAGGGGGGTTTAGATATGTTTTAATCTAATTTTGTCTTTTTTAAATTAACCTCCCTATTAATTGACTTTATTTTTGTTTTGAGGAAATTGCCATGTATGGAGACTGCCAGAAATGATGAGAGAACCTCAAATGACTATGGAGGTGTCTCACATGATTTATTTCCTTTGTCGACTATATTAATTTTTTTTTAAAGAATTTTAGATACAGTAAGTGAAAATGTCTCTCTGACTGCCAATTGTGGTGTAGTAGTTGAAGAGCTGGCGTAGAATCAGGGAATACAGGGTCTCAGTTTCACATAAGCTGGGAAAACACTGTGGTGATTTGGAGGCAATTGTTACTTTTTAGCTCATTGTACTTCATAGGGTTGTTTGGAGAAAAATTGGAAGAGAGAACACTTTTACATTTCCTTAAGCTTCTGAAGGAAAGGTGAAGGAAATAGAACAAATAAATTGGCAACTAGCTAATTCAAGAGGGCTTTGGTTGAAAAATGGTCTGATTCTGAAGCGTTACTCTTGAAATTGTACTATCCCCATTTTCCTTTGGTGCCTAACCCATGGTTTCAGAATTGGATTCCTCATTTGAATTTGGGTCAGTCCTTCTCCCCCAGCACAATCTACCTGTCAGGCTCACTGTTATGGAGACTCCCATATAAGTTGCTTTGAGCTTCTGAAGGAATGGTGGTATATAAATATACAAACTATATTACTGTCTTACTTGCCCAAATTGTTCTGAGTTACCTTGTGTATCTAGAAAGAAGACTTTACTTCTCCCCCTCCCCCATCTGTTAAGTGTCTGCTGAGTCTGAAATCTGAATCCATGTGCAACATAACTTTTGAGTTCCCTGCTTCCTTTTCGATTTATCACAGGAACTTTTTTCTTCTATATGAATTGCTGCTTCTGAGTTAGCGGTGAACCAAAAATCTGGGATATTTTGGAAAGCTTCTATAAGTGTTCCGAATCAAGTGAACCATTTAGCTATTTTTAACACTGAAGGCAAAAAGAGGTTGGAGATTTTAGTAAGGCAACAGTCTGAAACATACTTTCAAATCAACCATAAAGTATTTGCAGGAAAGAAAGATAAAGGTCTTGGAGTGATCTTCAGCAGTCCCCAGACTTGGATATTATTGAAAGTTTTGGGGGAGATCTCAAACGTTCAACACATGCAAGAAAGCCTAAGAATATTTCCGAGCTAAAATAATTCTGTAAGAAGGAGTGGAAATAATTCCAGAAGGAATAATAGAAAGACTCTTAGCTGGCTGTACTGTATGTATGGAATATCTCAGACTCCCTACAAACTTGGAAGAAGGAGCAGACCCAATACCAATACTTTAATGGCCAGGTATAAAACATACACAAGGAATTTATCTTCGGTGATAACAGCAAAATCAACGGTGC